CGAGGTTGTCAATCGGTAATCAGGACACACATCAATATGAAGTTTACTTTTTATCCAATCTTAGAGGGAGAAAAACGTCGCTGGACAAATTTCTACGAAATACTTTTCTGCAGCAGCAATCAATCTCGGTCGGTCTGTTTTTGACGACTATAGCGAACTGCTTGCTAAGTACATGTGAGGTTACACAGAATGGTGTACCCCGAACCACAAGGAAACAGTTCAGCTCAGTATGTCCTCCCGAATGAAAAGTGTTTCGTACTAGATCTAAGAGAGCCTAGTGCAAAGCAAGTTGAAGTCAGACCACCAAACAACTCAGTTAAGGCTAGCTGATAACTCTGAGAAAACACTGCTTAATCCACACGCAAGACCAGACCACTTCAGAAGTTTTGAGTCGGGCGGTTAAAATTGGAAAGCAAGCAGCTCCGTTGTCAATGTGTGAGTGGAGCGATGAAAACGTACCTAGGTACAGAACAAAACACAATCACTAATGAAAATAAAGAAAGTAATCATGTTCCTCCAAATAGTACTCACCTGCAGGTTCCGTCGTGATAGGTGGACATTGCTGGACTTGGGGCATTGGAGCGACGGTCGCTTGTGGACGGGTGCCAACCGGACTGGTTGGAGCAAAAGGATCTTTTTGAGATGACAAGACAGAAGTGGTACGGCGTGGAGGAGCGGGCGGGGCCGACAAGCCAGTGTCGGAGGAACCCATTCCACTAACTGCGGCGACTACATCCATTGCCGGACTGGTTGTGGAGGAACAGTGAAGCGACGGTTGGGTGGATAATGAATTTAGACCACTGCTGTTCATGTGTTGCATCGATGAAGATTCCGAGAGGTCATCTTCCCCAGGGATACTTTCCACAGCATATAGCTGTAGGCAGTCACCGTCAGATGGAACTGGACAACAATCACTGAGTCCTGACTGGGCAGCTTTGGGCATTGCGGATTGGATGACCTCGGACAGTAGGTCAGAGGATGTGTCCCCATTGATGGAGCTTGAAGAACCGATCCTACCAGCACTTCCAGGGCTGCTGCAAGGCTCGGAATGTGGAAGATGTTTGTTTACTTTCGAGGGGGTGTCAGGATCATGATTCTGATGTAAAGAAACTGGCGACGGATCCGGTAAGTGATCTGCCTTTCCATCAAGTGCAAATAAATCACTAGCAGAGCTAGTTTTAGTTGAGGTTCCGAAAGGTGTATCCTCCACTGCAAAAGACTGAACGGTGTCATCTGCCTGAGGAAACAAGGCTATTTGGGTTGAGTGGTCAGACGAAAACTTTAGTCCAGATGGAATGTCTGCTCGAAGAGTGAAGGAGGGGTTCCCCGGCATTGCTGATGCGATGCACTGCTGGAGAATATGGGACTGACCTTGTTCGTCTTCATCATCGGGGTCGTCCACCAGATGACCCGATGTATCGGGTACAGTATGACTGTTTCGGTCAGGCCAACCGTACATCGCACAGTGCAGTGGTGGTCTAGAAGCCCGTTCACAATCGCGGCTCGGAAAAGCAAGAAGTGACTCGCTAACCGACGAGGACCTCGTATCTTGCGGAGTACCTTCTTCGGCGAAAGCCAAGCGAACTTCCTCACCTTCGTTCCCCTCCTCAACTCCATCCCCATTGCTGAATGTCAGTGGTGCTAATCGCTCTTCGTGATCTTCGTCAGCATCCTCATCAATTCCAGACTCATGACGACTGATTGCGTCTCTACTATCTGGGTTAGTGTCAACCTCGTCAGTGAAATCCGACTCGTGCATAAGCGGCTGTTCAGAGTATTCACTTTGAGGTGAAGACTGTACACCGACAGGTAAGTCTCCCAAATCTGCAGAGGATATATAAGATGATGTGCCTCGAGAAAATATGAGTGGCGTCGGGATCGGACTAATGGCCGAAGATTCAGCAGTTGACACGGAGGGAATCTGTCTTTCCTGCACAGTCTGAAGAGGAGGAGGGGGAAGTGTGAAGCCATTTACATCGGGGTCGAAATCGTTCAGCTGCATTGTAAGCAAGGGTGAGACGAGACCGGACACGTCAGGTGGCGGAGAAGGCAACTGAGGACCCTCATCACTCACGTCTGACGGTCTTTGTGAGGTGGCCCGGGTGTTAAACACATCAGATGACTTGTGTGGTTCCGACGGTGGGCTCACACTGACCACACTTGGACTGACGCTCATCAACTGGGATGGAGAGCCCTCACTCGCATAGACATGAAGCAAACCGTCACTGGAAGTATATGATGTAAGTTCAATCGGCTGTTGACCGGAAGCGTAGTAGTCTGAGTCATCAAGGTAAAACTCTTCGGAAGGACCTCGGCGGGTCTTGTTTGGTCGCTGATGTAATTCTAAGGAGGATGCGGTCGTTGAATCCGGAGGGTAAGGCGTACCTTCTTCTGCGTACACACACGCTTGTTCCTCGTCTGTATCCGACTGCTGCCAGGTACATCCATCAGTAACTGCCTGGTTTACGAGCTGCTGTGGATCAACGTTTCCTATGGAGACGGGAACTATTCTTCGAGAACTAATGTCAGAGTCGTCAGTGACCATAGCTTCTTGGTCTGGGTAGATGGACCCTTCGTCTTCATAGGTATCTTCCTCTTCGTCATCACCATCATCCGTCTCCTCGGCAGCCTCTTCGTCAGCATCATCAGCTTCAAGTACAACAGAGAGCAAACCAAACCGAAGTCTAGCTCGCGAGTTCAGACGCCTTCGACAGGACTGATCAGTGCTACAAGAAGAATCGTCCTCATCCCCAACATCGTCCCTACTATCAACTGATGAGGAACTGGGGTCCGTGTCACTTTGAGCAAAACCATTGCCGTAGTTATGCTCGAAATTTGAGGTTTCTCGTGATGTAGGACCCATTCCAGTCGGCAACTGCTGGGTTTGTCGAGGTGGCTGCATCAGATTACGCAATACGGCGGTCGAACTATTCCGGATGAGTTCATGCGATGAGCGTGCCAGCTGGTGTAAGAGATCAACAACTCCAAGGCGGCACAAGAGGACTAAATCATCCGTCGGGCAGCGAGGAGAGGCGGTCAGATTCCACAAGGTCCCGCATACATTAACCACCACGGTGAGGCTAGGTGAATGACGGAGCAGTTCTATCAAGATGGGGTAACAATTGTTCTGATGCAGCAAAATCCTGGAAGCGAAAGTGGCCAAGGCGGATTGTTGCAAGTGTATAAATGACATGAACGAGCAGTTGCGATGCTTATCAATGGCTACTTTATTGGGGTATCGAATCTGGCTGTTTTGTAATAACCCAGCTTAAGGGTTATGGTTATTGGATCGAAAAATGCCTTAAGTATTAACTTCTGATGTTCCTTCGGTCAACAGATAGGTTGAGAAAAAAATAAAGACCACCAGGGAGGGTGAATTTCCGTAAGCAATCCTTTAGGTAAAGTGATGAGTTCCTCAAGCGGTTTCTGACACTGTTCAGGGAAAAGATACCTTTCGCCAGATGCTCTAATTTTCACATGAATTTGGTCTTAACAGGAGACTCGGAAGAATCCACGTGAATCTTTCGCCTATGATGCTTTTCATGCTTCAGTTTGTACTGCCTAGATGTAACGCATTGGTCACAAGGTCCCTCGACATTACATGGGGTCATCCGGTAAGCGAAGTACCGGAGTTTCTGGCAAACTTATGTTCCACTCGAACCCGAACTGAACAGAATTCGCCAATTACTCAATTGCACACTAATTTGGCTTCAAAGAAAGACTCTACTGAATCCAGCTGAACTCCTCGTTTATGTTGTTTCAAACTGCTGTGCAAATGAGAGCACTAAGCGAATTCCATCCAATTTGGATCCAAGCAGGACGGAAGGTTTACAGAAGCTCGAGAACTGTGCCTACCTGATCAGCTCCAAGGAGGGAACACCCGGTCGTGGGCTGCCGAAGATTTCAGCAAACCTATGAATAGCATGTTACATAGAGACGATGCCTCCTTTCATTCCGCAGTTAAGGCGACATTGTGACTACGCATATCATATGGGTACCTCCCAGTGTGCCACCTAGTGTTAGCCGACAGAGTATTCTCAAACCACCCTATAAAGCGAAAATGTGCGTAACCGGTCACCTTTAATGACGTGATGGAGCCAACCACAGTATAGTCCTTTACAACAAACCCCTCACAGTGATCGCTTTTGGTCGGTTCAGTTAAGATCTAACATTTACGGAACGAAGTCGATAGTCCTGGCTGAAATACCACAAATAAGTACGTAACTACATCAACCCAAGCGTGGCGAACTTAAGCATTTAGCGAATAGACACTCATTTGCAAACTAATTTGGTTCTTTCGAGAGACTCACCTGGAACCCAGCTGAATCTCTCGTTTTATGATGTTTTCAGGCAACTGAATGTATTGCACCAGGCCGCCTCATGTTTCAGTCGCTACGATATTTGAAATATCGCGATATATGTATATCTTTGTAATGTACTACTCATAAGGTTGCTGAAAATCCATCGACAGACTACGACCGGTTTCGCCCTACTTGGAGCTCATCAGGTAGGCGCAGTCCCCGGGTTTCCGTCAATCTTATGTTCTACTTGAAACCAAAATTAAGCATTTCTTCCAAAAATTGAACGTGAACGAAAGTGTTGCAGGGTTATCCGTGTTTATCTGCTGATCTGATAGACATCCACTAGAGCCTCTACTCACCCACGGTGATCGCTTCCGAACGATCGTGACTAGTCTTTCAGCTTCGAGTCTAGAAGATATCTCTTATTAAGACTGCGTCCAATGAACCCGACAGACCCCTGTTGTCGACCGTACCCACTGAAATTCACTGGTGAATAATGGTCGACAGTCTTCACTGTGATGTTTCATGCTGGAAGCACATTTTTCTGCAGTAACCCGCCTTGTGGTGGACAAGACGTTACTCGATTCTCGTACCAACCATTAACTCTGCAGCTGAACAATGCCATGTTTTGGGACAACAGTACCTACCCATGCCAAATATGCGTGATATGCAAAAACTCTGTAAATCTGTAAACAGTTTCCTGTTAGTATCGCCAAATTCGGGACTCATCAGATGAGCACAATCCTCGAAAGCAGAGGAACTCGAACAGAAATTTGGTTGAAGTTTCACTTTTGAACCCATACAAATGGTGAAATTTCTCAGACGGGGGACTTGATGGAGTTCCTCATATTCAGTATACTATGCTGTCATTGTTCTGCACGGGGCGGAGTACCGAGGGTTTCTAGAGATTCTGTTGTGAAGATATGAAGTTTCCACTAAAGTGATGTTAATTGAGTAACTGGCCGATTGTTTGGAAATTGCAGTGTCAAAGAGAAATAAAACTATAGTGAACTGATCACGTATTCTGAACAATCTTTCCGTGATAAATACACCAAAAAACGACAGAAATTTCATCGGATATTTTCGCAAATAAATACTGAAACATCCTGTGCCCCACCCGATATGCGGATGCACATCAGAACAGTGTTTATTAACACGCAACGGCACCCCGAGTCGGCAGTGGTTTAAACACATACACGAGTGAATTAAAAAGGTGCTTGCTTTCGTTGGCACTTTGCTGTATTACCAAATCGAACGTGACTATGCCCTTTCCTGATCGCATGCGATGCACCGACAACCGTTATGTGACGTGGTACTTTACTTTCCAATGGTGTTTGAGAAACATTGAGTTTTTGAACTCAGTTCTAGTAGGCGTACTAAATTCAAACGATGCCAGTTTCACATCACTCTCGTTTTGAACAGTCGTCCTCCTGTCCTGGCGCAATTATTCATGCGAATCCACACCAAAGGGGGGGAGCACTGGACTCGAGTTTCGCTCTTGTTAGAGCTCATCAGCAGTGCATAGCCAATGGCCGTGCCGGGGGTCGAACTCCGGACACCTGGCATGCGAAGCGAACGTGTTACCACTATTCCACCAGCGCATGTTGGACGCATCTGAATTCTCACATCTGAACGGGTGAACGTGTTCTCACTTGAGTGATGTGATTAGTATGCCCGACACATCATCGATACAACCCAGTAACTGTCCTGGTTGTGACGATCGATTGGACCGCTTGTCAGGATAAAAAAACCATCACATCCATCAAACGATGTCGTTAACGGTTTCAATAGGTGCGATCAGTTCGGCTTGAATACTAATACGGTAAAAAAAACTGATGAAAAACGTAAGCTACCCACGGTAAAGGGATTAAAATGAGAACACAAATTTCAGTAACAATGTTGCATAGCCCAAATTCGAGGGAGATCTAATCTTGAAGTCAACCACAAATTTGAAGATAAGTGACCTGACGGTCTGCTAGAACAAGATCCACTAGTTTCATCCAAAGCAACCGCGAGTCTAAAAATAAAGGTGTGGGCTATGAACAGACCCAACGACTCACCGATAATCATCCCGTCCGGCAACCACAGCAGATACGTTACGCAGAATGCCACCACTGTTCTCAACAACAACCAAACGATTGCTCAGATCGTTGCAATGCATTGTGCCCAAAAGAAAGGAGAAAACTCCGTCCACGCTAATGGGAAAGAAGCGAAAGGAAAGGAAAAATTACGCGTGGACGAAGTGCGCAGGAGGAGCACAACCTAAGAGGTATTTAAGGTTTCCACAGAAGGTTAAAACAACAGGAAGCTGCCGCAAGGATAATTCAGATGAACTATCTAGTCTCACCAAACATTTACGGTTGGTGAGGAAACTATTATAAAGATACACGTCTGTTTGCGGCAAGCAAAAACCACAAGATTCGGGTTTGGCCAAGCTGAACATCGAATGGTTTGGTCTGCATAACATTGGTCGCATAAAGTGATTTCTCGCACCCAGCATACCACTCCGGAATGTCCACAGAGTCGAGGCACGTGACTTTCGGATCCAAAAAGGAACAACCTAGGCGAATGTCAGGCCTGTATTACTAATAAGCTGAACCCAGACTAAACCTATACAACGCTCTGTGGTTAGCTATGGCTTGAGTTTCTGTCTTGTATGCGAACCTGCAAGTTTGTCTTCGATCGGAGTAGCCGGTCACCGTTGGTGCATAGTCTCGACAGCACGGTGTTCGAGAACGCCCGGTCACCGAAAAGCTCTCGACCGGGTGGTGAAGTGAAGTCACCCAGGAAGAGCAGGCTAGTGTTTTTCGCAACTGACGAAAAAGTGTGTTAACTTCCTTGTGGAACTTTGTCTTGTTGCCTCATCCTGAGTATGTTAGTGGGGTATATGCGATGAAAGCGGTCACATGTGTCTCACAAGTTAATCTGCGAAAAACACGGAACTGTGCTTTGTATTCTAATGGGTGTCGGTAATTTTACATTGCCTCGAACTATCGGTCACCCAAACATTCTGAATGAAACTGAGCAGAACATCATCAACTTTGATCACACACAATGTCTGTATTTAGGCTACGGGACAGGGACTCACGTCGCCCTGGCGAACCTGATCCATGTAGGTTCAAGCATGCCTGTGTGTGTGTGATTCATCCATGCAAGTGAAGTCGAGTTTCAGAGCAGTCAGCATAAGACATGAAAATCACAGCAAATAAGCAGCAGTCGATTTGTCAGGCCTGGCTATTATAAGCATATCCACAAGGCCACTGAGTTAGCTTTGCACTATGTCGCAAGCGGATACGGAGATCAGTCGGAGAGTGTACTATTAATCTGAGTCTATTCCCCTTTTCTTCTCCGAACAGATTTCGTCGAACCCGTACCCAACGACTTGATAGTGACCTTCGAATGACTGATTCTCGTGTTCGTTACGACGGACCATAACTGAAGGATACGCGAGATGGATATTGAGTGCCAACGTGTTGGATGATTCAACAGCGGTGTGATGGAGTGACAAGAGGAGAGCACATGAAGTGAATCATGAGTACTGTGGATGAACTGGCGAGACCCATTACTTAAATGGTTTAAGCCCAAGTGGCCATGGTAAGCAAACAGCAGCATGCAAGCACCAAAAAAAGGTACAGTCCTTTTCGCGAAAGCACGAAATTGTTGGAGACGGAACCGTATGAGAACCATGGTCACTTTCTGAACTCCACCGTCCCATCTGGCCCAGGCGGCAGACATTTTGGAAGAAAACAAACCTAATTTCCATGCGATATTTATTCAATGTACGGAAGTTGCGCACCACTACGCAACCGAAATGTCTGAATTCTAATTGAAAGCGGAGAAATGAATCAGGCAATTCAGGCACCATAATTGCTTCCTGTATGGTTATGAGTGCTCTGTCCCCCCGACCAGGATTTTCGTGAAAACAGCTACATTTCAATGGATTTGCCTCCTCGCCAGGAAATTTCTGTAGGCAAGCAGTGCCTGAAGAGCTAACGCTAAAATTGAATTTGGACCGCCCATGGTGTCAATTAGCAGATTGGCGTTCTGGTCAGTAGGTAGGGGTGGCAGAATGGGGCTGCCCAGGCGATTTCCACATATGGAAATCGTTTTGCAAGTGTCAACAGCCGGAAGTCTGTAATGTGAAACCATTTGGAAATGTGTAATTAAAACTTTCAAAATAATGGACAAAAGAAAGTGGGTCATGAGTGTAAGTTTGTGTACAAGTAAAAGGAGGTATATCACGGGTGAAGTGGAAATCCACGAATAAACAGTTTCAACGAAGCCACTGAGAGCGGAACAGCTTGAATGAAACAGGGGTGGGAGTTTAATCTCTGGGTTTTGGACATAACTGAGACTGACACAACCGTATGTGGTTTATCGACTACTGTGCCGGCTTCAGAACTAGTCAGTATGGGAGACGTCAGTGTAAAGCACCCTATCGTAGTTCAGCCCAAATGGAAAAACCATCGTGATTCAGTTCACCAATGCTAAAAAGTCAGGATCCGTTCCGGGAAATAAACCTGTACATCCATCCCTAGAACACCTGCTAAGTTCGTGCTGTACAGAATGCACCAAAAATGGTCAACGGTTCAAGTGTACAGCCCTCCCTCGAAGAGAAACCGAAGAGGACAAAGATACAGTTTGCCCCTTCTTGTGAGGGTGGGGTTTTTTCACAATACGTCGTGGACGTGCGTTACTGTGGCCTCTCCAGGCCAACAGCTTCCACTCAGGGCAGGCTGGCGGTCGGTGCCAGCAGTGCATCTACCAACATTAACCTAAACAAAACATCAAGTTATACTGTTCCAACCCTGTTCGGATCCCATAGGGGACTTACCGCTGACGATTCTGAAAGACATAAAAGCTTTTTAGCATAGGTCTAACTAACGTCACGTGGTTGTCTGTCGATTGAAAATTCACCAACATCGAAAAGCACTGTCTCTGGAATCGGACATTTCGGCTCTCAGAGCTAGACTAGTCTGCACCTATGCTAGGGGCTTTCTGCTTTCAGCTAATGAGGTTTTTGTCATGGATGTGATGAAGGTTGAACATACATAGAGCTGAACAACAACAAACAAATAATATGAGCCAGTGCGTGACTAAGTCTCATTAATTGTCCAGACAATATTCTTTAATCGGGAAGCCAGTCAACACATACGACCATGTGATACGGATGCTGTGATCGAAAGATCAGTGGCGCTACATCTTGTCTGAATGTGAGTTACAAGGCACTACTGATAGGCCACTCGATGTCCTTAAATCCAAGCTCTGGTCTACCGGTGCCGGGTGCACCGATGAGTAATACGCATGCCAGCGCGTCAGGCTGGCGTTACCCCACGGTAGATGTTGCTTACGAACATAGGTCAATGAATGGAAAATCCGTTAATAACCGCCAGCTAAAGCTCCAGTTGGAAAGCAATCACACAATGGATGCGTGCGTCTGTGTGGTTGACGCACTCAACCACATCCGATACTGGGTCGACTAAATAGAAAACTCTCGCTTGAGAAAAGCAAACGTCACCGGGGATAGGGATGAAAAAGAAACCGGAAAAAGCAGGAGCATAGAAAGACACAGTAAACTGACCAAAAGCCGCGAAACTCAGGGCATATCCATGAACATAGCGTACCCAGAGGGGAGGGTTTGATGGAGACCGATCTTTCTCAGAGAGCTGCTCTCGAAGAGCTACTTTTGGATTTTTAGCTAATCCACCGCACAGTAATAGTTCGTGTTAACCGATTTTTACTGGAAGCAGTTGGTTCAGGGAGGTTGTCCGGGAAGCAATCGTTATTATCGAAGAAAGTGACGGAAGTAAATAGGCAGCGGTATTAAAGATATCCCAACATCACTGGTGATTTGAACTAATAAGTGTGGTGGGAATTCGATCCAAGAATCTCATTCGTGGTTGTGGGCAGTAATTTTTACCAAGGGGAGCTACTACCTTGAAGATGGTATAACAGTGTTCCCCCCCTTAATGTCCCAACTTCATGTGCAGGGGAGATGAGCGCACAGCGCTCATGTGAAAAAATGGACACCCTGAAACAGTCAGAATCACCATGAACAACAGCTGAAATGGTATTAGCACAAGCCAACAAAACGAAAAGAAGCTACGTCGTACACAGACGGGTGGTAAAATATAATAGGAAATGGCAAACAAAAATCAGCGGATTTGATCACACACGCTCCATTTGGCTTGATAATACGGTTTTACGTGTGTGGGGAAAGAGGGAGTTGACAAATCAACAGTGCTCATGATTGGCCAGAATATCGGTCGTCGCGCTCTAACGCAGATACCGAAATTAGTAACTGAGACAAAGCGTCGATGTCGAAAAAGAGTAGGCAGGTCACTGATGAGAAAATCAGTGTATTCCCGTGGAACACTTACCTGCATACGGCTCGCTTGTTATGAGAGCAATGGGCACTCAAATTCCACAAGGCGCTCAAAGTGGTACGCAGTGTGCTGTCTCGCTGGGCGTTCATCGCTGCTAGCGTGAGTCGACGGGGTGCGTTCACCCTACGAAGTGCTAATTTGCTACGGGAATCTGTGCGCCAACATAAATTACGCAAAACGCTGGCTGAAACCTGAACGGAAAAAGAAACAGAAGAAAATGTGCGCTCAATAGTCCGGAAGGAATTCGTAAGCAATCGCTTCATTTGTAATGTGGTTTGGAACTCAGGCCTACGCTTGAAAAATCTGGTAATATCGTTCGGTTCCGGTGAAACCATTTCTTTATTTTTTTTAAATTCGTTTTTAATGTTGTGTCATGGTCACACAATTATTCTGCGTCTCCTCAGGTGCCTGGGACAGCCACAGTTCAGTATTTCTAAACATAGCATCCTCAACTCACTTTTATCGACTTCAGATGGAACCCAAATTAGGGAATTGTGTTCGATCATTGGACAAGACCACTTTATTGTTCTCACTCATCGGTCATCCAAGCAGTCTTAGTGGGTCCAGTGACTATTCCAGTGAAGTGATATTGTCTGCCAGTCAGTCCCATGTCTGCTTGCTCATATCGGAAAGAAAGAGAACACCTTGTTTTATTTTTGCGTTGAGTTGGTGGTCACACTGTCGTTGTCTAGGCCTAGGCAACCTGGCAGTATCCCAGCCCTCAAGCTTCCTTCGGGTGGCATGGCAGCTAGGCACCAAAATTGTGTTACAGTTGGTCGACTATTATATTTTATAATATACCCAAATTTATTTATCAACGTCCTCGTTTAAAAACGACTGTTTTTTTGCTGGTCTTGTCAGTGTGCGTTGTGTGAAGTGGGACTATTGACGTACCTGTTTCAACTCTTCATTCCCCGATTCCAGCTGAGCCAGTAATGCTTCTAAGTTGGCCACCCGCCTACAAATCAGCGCTTTATTCTCAGCAACTCCGAAGGTCAAATTGGTCAGGGCCATACAAATGTAACGACGCAAGGCTAGACTGGTCTCGTGATAATGATGCTCGAGCGAAGCCTGGCTGTCATGTGAGGGCTTGTCGTTTGGTGAACAGCTGTGCACGCAACCAGCGTCATTCAGTTCCGTCGACGCAGATTGCTCTGCGCGTAACAGCGCGATCAGCGCATGCACACCACCTGTGGACCAAATAGAAATATGGTAGATCAGCGACTTTCAATCACGCAGCAATTCATTTTACATAAAACCTGTAGAACGAAAAGCGCCGCTCTAAACCAATGGATGAAGATTAAGGCTCAGGAAGGGTGGAATCCAATCAACGTATCTCTATCTGGAATGTTCTATTTGAAAATAATCTGACCGAACCGGCAATAGAGAATAATTTGACCACCTAATGCAGTTCTTATGACAGACATCGTTTCCTTGAGTTATGATGCGCCTTGATTGACGGTTTATTACAGCTCCCTGCTTCGCAGCAGGTCGCCACACAGTGAATAATCATTTCGTTTAAAAACGACTGTTTTTTTGCTGGTCTTGTCAGTGTGCGTTGTGTGAAGTGGGACTATTGACGTACCTGTTTCAACTCTTCATTCCCCGATTCCAGCTGAGCCAGTAATGCTTCTAAGTTGGCCACCCGCCTACAAATCAGCGCTTTATTCTCAGCAACTCCGAAGGTCAAATTGGTCAGGGCCATACAAATGTAACGACGCAAGGCTAGACTGGTCTCGTGATAATGATGCTCGAGCGAAGCCTGGCTGTCATGTGAGGGCTTGCCGTTTGGTGAGCAGCTGTGCACGCAACCAGCGTCATTCAGTTCCGTCGACGCAGATTGCTCTGCGCGTAACAGCGCGATCAGCGCATGCACACCACCTGTGGACCAAATAGAAATATGGTAGATCAGCGACTTTCAATCACGCAGCAATTCATTTTACATAAAACCTGTAGAACGAAAAGCGCCGCTCTAAACCAATGGATGAAGATTAAGGCTCAGGAAGGGTGGAATCCAATCAACGTATCTCTATCTGGAATGTTCTATTTGAAAATAATCTGACCGAACCGGCAATAGAGAATAATTTGACCACCTAATGCAGTTCTTATGACAGACATCGTTTCCTTGAGTTATGATGCGCCTTGATTGACGGTTTATTACAGCCTCCTGCTTCGCAGCAGGTCGCCACACAGTGAATAATCATTGCTTCGAAAGGAAACCACAGCTTATGCATACTGGTTACACAAGCAGAAAACTCGAGAAAACTGAACAGCACGTGCTAGTGCAAGCGTTTGAAAATGCTAGTTGACCCGAAGTAGACCAAACCACTTGAGGTGTGATGGGAAGGTGAAAATCCAAGGTTGGTGCTAAGCTGGAAGCCAAGATAAAACAAACAGTGGGGGAAATGACCTCAAATGAACAGGGTCGCAAGGTGAACAGTCTGCCGCATCAAAAAAAAGACGCCCCAGAGAAAACCAATCAGTCAGAAGGCAAACCACCGTTTGAAGACTGAGTAAAGTCACTTCAGATTAGTACCATAGCTGACACGAATGACTTAGACAACGTAACGCGTAATTCCGATCAGCTTACTGGCAAGCTGCTTTTTTGCTTAAGAGAGAATCCTCAGATGAACACAAAATGCACTTCACGCACAGCCAGTAGCGACCGAAAAACCATACAGACACAACTAATACCACCCAGCCATGCTAGTTTTACTTGCTCGTCATTGAGCTGTCATCGAGCCTGAGATAACTCACTTGGATTCAACTGAGACAGAGATTACGAATACCAGGATATTTTCAATTTTTCGACACTTAGACTAGGTAGTTCGAACGCCCAGATGCCGAGTTGTGTCCGAAATTTTGGGTTTCTTATTCTGAGCAAGGTGGCACAGTTAAAATAAATCGTCGCGTTAGCCAATGGACGAAACATCCAGTTCTTATACGTGCCACCGTCAATTATTCCATTGCTGATGCCTGAGGCAGAATGAAGTGACACAAGACCCAGCGAGAAAACTGAAGCACAATGATTAGTCATTGGAGTCATCTCATTCAGTAAAGTCGACATAAGCAGTTTGATTACCCATTGAGAAGCTGTCATTCTCTCTAGCTGGAAAAGTGCATTGGGCGCTCAAAACCCCCTGAGAAAATGCATGGGGGAGAGAGAGTAAAACGGTGTTTGCTGGATTGTGAATTTTAATTACACATCCTTTGAAGAACTAGTCCACAGATAGCCTCCAAAACAGGAAACGTTCATTGGTCCCCCAAGACACTGAGGCCATACTGTGGAGCTGCATTTGAGTCGGACTGACTCATTCCCATATAGTCACTGCGAAATAACATGATGGCTGAAAACTGCATTCAGAGTAAATAAGTGAGAGGATGAAAAAACATACCCAGGCTACATATCGCAGTCCGATGCTCCGGATAAAAAGAGAGTCGCACCAAAGCAGCTACTTCTGCAACCGGACAACGGGGAAGTGATGCAGACAACGGATTAACCGAGCTGGGGCTTTGTTTCAGTCGAGCCTGCTGGACATTGGTGTATGTCTGGATTGTTTTGAGTAAATGAATGATGCCCAAGTCGCGTTCACATAGATTCGAATCCGCCTGACACATTGGTACGAGACGGGAAATGGCCTGGAAAAGAACAAGTAGGAGGCAAAGTATGACAGGACGGAGTATATGAAGGCAGGGCCATGATTTGAACAACTCAAGGACAGGTGAAACGTTCTGTAATCAGCTGATTGCTGATAACTGATCGTATGATCCATCGGAATTTGGACATGGTAACACAAGCAAATGACTGCAACTAAAGGATACGGGTCCATGAGTTAGTTGCTAAAAGAATGCCTTAATATCCTGATGCTAGTACACCGAAATAAACCAAGTAGTCGTGAAAGGACTTGGTTTTGCGTAGATCTCATCTATCAAACGTCCGCGGTTCAAATCCGACATTGGCATCTCGACTTCTGCTGTCTAGCCTTGGGCAACCTGGCAGTATCCCAGCCCTCGTGCTTCCTTCTTGTGGCATGGCAGCTACACACCAAAAGGGTGTTACAGCTGAACGATTAGGAAACGTTCTCAAGATCCGTACCAATGAATACATCTAGAACACCAAATAACCGAGAGCTAATTTCGCTCCAAAGAACACTGCGGTATCCAAACCCACAGTTACGAACAGCAGCTTTGATTACTGACTAGCCCATCTGGCACCAAGGCAGTTTAGAAGTAATAAATAATAAAATTAACGTCCAGCTGCAGCACCCCTTCGGAGCCTAGCTACCCGGTGCCACTCGAAGGAGGCACGAGGGCTGGAATACTGCCAGGCTGCCCAAGCCTAGACAGGGAAAGCCGAGAAGCAGAGATCGAGTTCGAACCAAGGACCTTCCAGTCAATAAATTCGCGCTCTAACCACTAAGCCATCTCGCCCCTTTAAAGCTAGTACTCACTGCCGATATATTGCTGCCAATGATGGTGAAGATGACTAAAAAAACTGAGCACCAAAGTACCTTTCTGTACGGTAACTGGGCGGCCAGAATTAACAGAATCGGTAAGTAACAAAAGACTTATTGAACACAAGTGACCGGTTGCGAAATATATAGTGTTCGTTTTGACATCCGTATGTTCTCAGGTGGTTATTCCGGATAGTTTAGATTGAAAAAGAGAACTACTGGACTCGAGTTTTGCTCCCATTAGAGTCCACAACCAATATCCGGGCTCAAATTCCGGACATTCAACATGCGAGAAGAGCAGGACAAAATAATCACATCACTGAAAGTCCAAACATCTTCGGACACTTTGTGCCTGATGTGCGAGTCTTGGTTGTGCTAGCGCTTACCGCGCTTTGAAGAGCATTCAACATTGTTTATCCTTTCTTCGGTTGTTGGTCCTTAGACGCGTGTTTCCATATCAAAATTTTTACATACGTTGGGATTCATCTCATCTGACTGGAACTCTTGGTGGCATGAACTCGAATAAGACGTTTCTCTCTTTTCTCTCATATTTTCCTGTTACCCTTTCGCATTCGTCGCTTGCATTCACTTTATATGTTTGTGACCACGCTCTTTAAAAATAAATGATAATATTAGTAGTAGTACGGCGCTCTTCTCGAATTTCGGATGTCTTGAATTCAAGTCCAGACACAGCGGTACTGATGAACCATGAAAAAATAATTCTCCCTTTTACTGAAGATGACGCAGATCAACTGTGCCAGGACAAGAAGAGGTGTGCTTAGTCAGGAGCGACGCGTGCACAAGGTGACTGAAGGGGAGGTAAACAGAAGCCATATTCATACCTCCATTGCAGCGCTCTTGAGTTCTTCGATCGAAGTTCCCGGGGGAAGTGCATCTAATTCTGCACCAGTGGCCCATCCGCCAGGCTTCTCTTCCAGTACGTTCAACACAGTCTCAACATCGTATTCCCCCAAATCATCCAGATCCTCCTCCTCCTCTTCATCTGAGTGCCTGGATTCCATACTGGTGGTCATCGACAATTCACTTGACTCTGCCTTGACCATTGGATCAGAAGTATCGTTTGTTCTCCTCTCGATCGATACGCATGAATTTGCATCTGAAAAATCACATCAAGTAGCAGTATAGGTTTAGGAAGATGGACAGATAATACAAGTTACTAGGAAAGCAGTAACCTACTGACTAGACACTGGAGAGGAGGGTACGGAGCGACTGATCGACCGGATGCTTAACGAGACATCAACCATTAATTATGAATGAATTACGTCATCAGCAAAAAATGCATTGCAGCGAACAAAGTAACTAACAAACAGCGTTTTCCATGACATCAAGTTTACGATAGGATAAAGCAATAGCAAACCGGCATTTTTAGATCTCCTGGTCAATAGAATGATAAATGGACAACGCGACCGGAGGTCTACCCAAGAACAACGCAAACGGACCCGTTATCCGAGGAACTTCATTTGGAAATCTTCAAAAAAGTGCAAAACAACTACACTGCCATATATCAAAAGCACTACCGAAATGACTGCAAAGATGCGATAACAGCATGCTATAAGTGTGGTCTACAGACACATACAAACACAACACTGCGAACGGTGCTGTAGAAACAAAAGAAAAAAACTTGATACGGTGGAGAAGACCGGTGTTTTTTTTACAAAATTCAATGTAAGAATTCTGGTACAAACAGGGCGGAAGAACAGGGAGCTATCTGCTTGCTACTAGAAGACCCGATTAACCCTCGTAACTCCCTGCACATGAAGATCGGGAAGGACAGGGATTCAACTGAAGCGATGTAAGCATACTAGGTTAAACATGATGAAGGAAAGAACCCGGATTTACCTACGTGTGAAACTTTACTGATAGGGAAATAAACAGGCGCATTGAGCTAGACCCGGTCTACGAACCTCTGAGGACAGATAAAATTCACTGAAACTCTTAAAAAAACATCAAACTATGGGCCGTATAAAGAATTGAAAGAATAAAAACAATATAACTACAGCAGAACCACCCAGTTCTGAGGGAGAAAAAAGTCGAACAAGAACGTAAAACTTTCAATAAGGGCCATCAAACCCGAGAGTCAAACGAGCCAAAATCACGGGGACTATGCAGAGAAGCGGGGATCTAGAAAAAGAATGGACCAATCAGAATGAAAACGGATCCACCAAAACAGGAAAGGATGAATACGAATGGTATACAATGGACTAATGGAAACCAAGAAAGATAGACCGCGGCGCATCACAGATCGCGACCAGGCCAATCAGACACCAGATGATTGGTAAATAGCCGACTGTGTCAGAGCAATAAAAGAACAAGCGAGAAGAGAGGAACTGCCCACCCAACTGCATCCCATTGATTTCTTCTCGATGGTGAAAAGTTTGCAAGTCAGTTGCTATCAGGAAGGTCAGCTTCCTGAAAGCAACCACTGAATGTCCGGAATCTACGGAGACTCTCAGCTCCGCTGGGTGTTGACCAGACAGACAACGCCTCCTCAATATGCAGCGAGTCACAGCCTTGTGTCAAACCCAGACAGCGCGAGTCAGCGTTGATCAAGGTCAGACAACGCCCCCGCGATATGCAGCACGTCGCTGCCTCGTACTAAAGCCAGACGCGTGCGTCAGCATTGAACCAAGTTCAGACAGTGTCCTTCCAATAAAAAGCTTGAGGCCGTTGTACTTTTCGCACTCGCACGCAATCGCGCTCTCGCAACCACTTTTTGGAATATAGCTATTGTGTTCCCTTCCGTGAGCCTTTTTCTCTCCAACACTAGGCACTGGAGCGAGTCAGCAGCAGATACCACAGGCCGGCGAATCAGCAGATATAACAGTTGCAAAGCTCAAAAAACAAGTTGACCGCCACAAAAGCATAAAAATTGGTCAACTGATTGACTTTTGGTTTGTTATCTTCATGAGGATGTGGTCAGTTGCAGCCGTGCAACTCATGAAAGTACAGAGCGAGCAAGAGGAAAATGATAAAAAATGATAACAAGTAGTTCAAACAGTTTTCAAGCAGCATTTCAAAAAGCTTTCAGAAAGGGAGCTAAAATGAACAGCAAATGATGATTAGCTTCATAATACACAGGACATTTTGTTTTTCATCATAATTAGGCTGATATAAGTAGAGATTGGGAATGAAACGAGCCGGAACAGAGTTCATTAGAGGTTAGGTCCTCTTTAAAAGCAAAATTATCGAACCCCGTGCAACGGACCTTTCGGATACTGCCATAAATTACTTTGGTACTTACTACAGTCAGGTTGCAGCCAAAAGAACGTCCAAAAGGTACACTGCGTAACTAAGCATTAGAAAGTACGGGTTGGTCGTACCTCCAGTAGGATTCTCCTGCCAGGGGGTTCGTAAACCATATCCTTCACCAGCGGCCTCCGCACTGACTGCCAGAACTTCGGTGTAGATTATTCGAATCAGATGTGGAAGGATTCCTTGTGCCAAGGAGGCTACTTCAGAGTCCATGAATCGTCCTCCACGATTCGTGCCACATACAGCTCGTAGTAAGCGATCCAAGATAGCGGGATCACGCTGTGTCGATGGATTTGAAGGCG